TCCTATTCTCTTCATCTTTCTTTAACCATCTCTCACCTTCTTTTGGTTTGTCGTCAATGGAACGAATGACATCGTTAGCTTTGCGAACTTGTTCTATAGCACTTTTAAACATCTCTCTTCTCTGTTGTTTCAGTGTGTCGTCTCTTCTTCTTGTTTCACCAACGTTTGCATTTGTTATGTCAAACATCTCTTGACGAACATCATGCGAAAGAGCTTTACGAGTATGACCAACGTTTGCATTTGTTATGTCAAACATTTCTTGACGAACATCATGCGAAAGAGCTTTACGAGTATGACCAACGTTTGCATTTGTTATGTCAAACATCTCACGCCTTACTTCATGAGGTACTGAACGTCTATGATATAAGTCAATAGCAACGTCATTTAAAGGAAATGCTATTGCATGGACTTCGTCCTCGCCGCGTTGCGGCTTTATGAACTCATGAATTCTATCATAACTTATTGCACCATTATAGTCTTTAATGAAGTCAGCGAGTGCTTTTTTGTTTGTTGCGTAATGCTTTGCAACATCTATGTTAGCTTCTGTAAGAAGTTGTTTTATTTCCGAGTGTTCTAACTTAGACAACTTCCGATACATCTTTAGTAGGAAATAAAAAAAAATATTTTTGAAAAAATTAGATTAGATTTTTTTAAGTTATTTTTCAAAATAATTTAATATTTTTATTTTAATGAAACACATGCAAGATTGCAAGTTCTTTTCATACAATGCTCTCGCTACTGCCATCAAGAATGAGTTCAATAATGCTTCAAATGTTAATGTTATCTTTAACAAGAAGTTTGTGAAAGAATCTAAGTTTGGTCAGTATGTCAGACCATTAGCTATCGTCATTGACCGCAAACGTTATACTTCACAAGAGTTAGCAGTAGTTTTGAAACAAAAGAGTTTCTTCGTGAATGTCAAAGATACACACTATACTGTTATAAAGAACTCTAACGTTGACTTCTTCAGTATTGCTTTAAATCTTTCCGAACAGAAAGAATATAAGAAGGGTGAAACAAATGTGAAATATTATCCTTCATCTCTGAAGACAATAACGAACAAAGATGTTATACAGAAATTCTTACCAAAGGTTGAAGAAGCTTCTATTGACATTGACGAAGAAAGTGAAATGGTTGAAGAAATAGACCCTGAAGCTATTTAAGCAAAAATATATTTTTGGTTAGTCTTCATATCGATATTTTACAACAATTCCCCAATGTATAAACTTTTCATACGCTTTTTCATAAGCTTTATATACCTTCAGAAATTTTGCATAATCTTTAGAAGCATTTAGATATTGTTTAAATGCTTTGTATGTCTTCAGAAATTTTGCATAATCTTTTACATGTTGTTCGTTCTCTTCTTCTGTCATGAGTTCCGAATATTCTAAATTCATGTTCTTTCATATGAGATAAAATTTTATAAAAAAATAAAATTAGCTTAGATTTTTTTTATTCTTCCTCTTTGAAGTTGTCGAAATATTCTGTTATCTTTTCCTTCAGTAGCGGTAAGTCTTCTTTGAAGGTAAGTATTGTACAACCTTTGATGTCATAGTGTGTTTGAGGAAGAGTATTTTTGACAATTTCCTTTATTTGCTCATTCGGTGTCATTGAAATCGGTAAGTTTTCACGATAGAACCAGTTTCTGTCAGATTTATATATTTTAGCAAGGTCGTAAAAGCTTTTGTTGTTTCTTCTGACTAAATGCAACATAACCATATCTCTATCTTCTTTCTCCAACTCTTCAGCGTAAATCATATACTTATAACTCTTTTCCTTTCCTTTTGGTACTGAACGCGGTATTCTTTTCTGTATGCTTTTGTCTTTGGATTCAATGACTTCATCTTTTGCTTGAAGTTTCTTTTCCATCTCTCCACGTTCTGCTTTATATAGTTCATCTAACATCATGAAAATATAACAAGCATAACGAGGTGAAGCCCACATTGCTACGGCATTTACTAAAAGTCTATGAACATAATATCCTCTCAAACCAGGAGCCAAATTCTTGCGATTTTCGTACGGAATCTCTACCCTCGGTTTTCCGAGGGTAGCAAACATATGAGGAAATTCTTCTAAAAGTTCTTTTGTCTGTTGGTTTTCAAACCAATGATATGCTTGCTTTGTAGAACGAAGAGCATTCATTATACTTTGCATTTGGTACATGTCATCTTTGACTGAACGAATGAGTCTCAATTGTTTGTTATACTGTATGTATTCGTATTCTTCATTTATGGCTTCATGAACGATAGCAGTTGTTGTGTTCTCTGTTGTTGACATATCTGTCTTTACATACAAAATAAAAAAAATAAATAAAAATAAAATTAGCGTTATTTTTTCTATCTTTCACAAAAGACCAAAAATAAACGCTTTACATGTATTTTTCAGCAACTTCGTCAAATAATTTTATAGCTTTATCTATCTCATCTACTTCAAACGTTTCTTTACCTTTTATGGGAGCACCATACATTTTCTTAAACTTTTCGAGTAGTTCTGTTTCTGCGGCTCTCATATCATTAACGAACACAACCTTGACTCTATTGACTGTAGAGTCATATCTTTGAGTTATATTATATGTCCTTCCTATCTTATATCTTTTTGTGTTGAAGTCCTTCGGTTTCTGAACGATGTAAAGTAAGCCTTCACTGCAACGTTCCGTATCGAATGAACCATAAGTTATGAAGTTATATCCAACAACTGGGTCAATCCATAACAAAACTATTGGTATAAGACTTTTGTCGATGAGATATGCTGTAGTTCCATAGAATCTTACTGATATCATAAGCTCAGGATTTCTTGTCAAAATTTTCTGAGTTGAAGCATTTCTAACCCAGTCGTGTGTTTTCTTTCCAGATGGAAATATAATGTCTGACAAAGAATATTTGTTGTATTTCTTTGAGTATCTTACGTTTAAATCACCTATTCTAACCAATTTGGTGTCATTGTCTATCTTTCTAACTGTTTCAAACTCAATGTTTGACATATATGTCTTTACATACAAAATAAAAAAATAAATAAAAATAAAACTAACTTTATTTTTTCTGTCTTAAGGAAATTCACGATTTTTGTTGCTGAATTCAGCAAAAATAATGTTTAGGTGAAGAGGTGAGATCTCACCTGTTTTCTCACCTGTTTTTTCACCTGTTTTTTCACAACCGTTTTACATGAATTGTACGATGTATATTTGAAATCCTAAACAGTTTCGTAGCTTCTATTTCTTCTGTCAGTATGTCAAAAGTTTTAACGATACCGAAAGTTTCTTTATATTTCTTCTTGACGTCAGATAGAAGGAAATCGTCAGCAGTTGGATAGTTTTTGTTCAGAAATTCTAACATGTCCATTTTATTTTCTGCTGGTTTTTCTGCTTCTTTCTTTAAATCTGCATAGTCGTTTCTCATTCTTTCTATCTCTTTGACTGAGTAGTTATATCTCCTCATTGCTGCTTTACATTTAGAACATTGCGGGTTCATTTTTGCGTTATACATTGAAATAAAACCAGCTAAAACAACTAAAGCGTCAATTGCTCTCTTCATCTCAAACATAGCGGGTCTTATTTGTTTGTTCCATACTTTGCCTCTTCTATCTTTATCTCTTATTTCCCAAACACATTCAGCAACTAACGAAACAAAGTTATCGTAAGTCTTAAACTCCTCAGATTTATATATGTCAGAAATGTTTTTATATACCATGTCGCAATCTTTGTCCATAACCTTATGGTTGCAATGAAATCCTAGAAACTCATAGTTTACCTTACGAATGAACTTCTTTATTTCTACTGAGTCAGTTGGTTTCACTTCAATTTCGTCGAATTCAGGAATAGTGAGTTTTTGTTGTTGGATTTCAGGTAGTTTAGGTAAATGGTCAATAATGTCCTGCATTTCATAAAGATACTGTTCATTTGTTTCATCTTTCGCACTACAGTCTAAATTACTTGTTAAAAGTTCTTGCTTTATCTTCTGGATTTCTGTTTCAAAAGTATATGAAGAAGGAATGAAGCTTTTCATCTCTACTAACATAGATGTTGGATTCATGACTAAAGAGTTTGGTGCTGTAGTTGTTTGTATTGCTGTTGTGCCGATTGTTGAAATCATATCTTTACATACAAAATAAAAAAATAAAAAAAAATAAAACTAACTTTATTTTTTATTTCGGGAAAATTCATGAAAATTCAAGAGGTGAAAAAACAGGTGAAAAAACAGGTGAGATCTCACCTCTTCACCTAAATTATATTTTTGTCTGATTTACATCTAATGAAAAAGTTTAGAAGAATTTTCTTATTCTTTCTGGCATGTTTTTGTCTTTCCAATACTCCCGCTCTAATGGTCCCAGATGTGTTGGCTTTGACTCTCTCAAGTTCTTAGATGGTATAACATCTTCAACGCCTCCTTCATATCTTACTTTATAAGTGTCATCGTTTATGTTGTAGCCAAGTATTTCAATAACCACTCCTCGCTTTGCTTCGTCAATGGTTTCAGCAAGTTTGCCATTACTACTTTCGACTAATTTATGACGAGGGTAAAATGCAATGGAGTCGTCAGCAGCTTTTATAAGATATCCATTACCTTGCGTAGAGTCTACGATATAATAATTTCTACTTAACCTTAAACGTTTCTTTGTCAACGGTTTGTCGTCAAGAACTACACGAACTTTTGTACCAGGAATGAGGGTAAATTGTGTTGAATTTCTGATATTTTGTGTTTGGCTTCGTTTCTTTTGTATATACTTTTCTTCTTGTTGTTGTGTCATTGAATTTGGTGTATGTCCTGTTGTAGAATGTGTTGAGGAATTATATACTTCGAGAAAATGTTTCATTGTTTCTTCGGTAAAGTCTCGCTCTTGATTTAAATCTCTGAGCGTTCTTATGAAGCGGTTTATGATGCCGAGTATGTTATGGTTATGGTCTTCAGTAGTGTAGTGAGTTATGTTATGCTTAATGAGAAATTCTGTGATTTCATTGCTGAGGTATGCACTGTCTTGGTCTGATGTTAAAGTACTTGTTTCTGCTACAAACTTTGTAAAACTCTTAACACTTCACGAGTTCCTTTATTTTTCATTGGATATGCATATGCTTTACGAGTGTTAACATTAATGAAGATGAGGAATGGTTTATGTCCTCCTTTTCTGCTTTGAATGAGAGTGTCAAATTGGTATGCGTCAGGAGTGTTGGAGTAAATTGGTAAAAAGTAGTCGTAAGGGTTTATTTTTGTTTGATGTACAACATTTTTGTCAAAGAACGTTTTAACTTCAGCTCTGTTAGTAAATCCCCAACTCTTTGCAGCTTCATTGAACTTCTTAAATGACCTCCATGGATGTTGTTCGAATACTTCTTTCAAGCTCATTTATGTAAAAATAAAGATTTTATTCTAGGCTCAAGCGAGTTCATTGAACGCGGTACCATGCGAATATAGTCACAAATGGTGGCATGTAATCTTTACCCGACCCTGTTGGATTTGTTGTGAAAGTGTGTGAATGATTTCCTGCGGTTCCACAGAAAATACCTGCGCTTGAATCTACTGGGTCACTTGAAATATCATATCTATGCATTCCCTGTCTATCCGAACCTGCTGCAAGATTTGTATAACCTCTTTTTGTTATTGAATGTGAATGACTACCTGTTGTGTTTGTAGTTCCTGTATGAGTGCGGTGGAAGGTTTGCTTCTTTAATTTTCTTCGAACCACCTGTTTGCTTTGAAGAGTTCGCACAATAGAGGAATTTATCTACAATCTGTTCCCACGTACCAAAACCTAAAACACTTGCCGGATTTGTTGAGTTCATTGACGTATAAATAGAGCCTATAGGATATATGGTTTCAAGAATCTGGGCCTTCATTGTTAGAAGTTCATGTTTAACGTTTATAGTTTTATTGCCTTCTACAATATTTATATTGTTTGTTATTAAACCATTAGGAAAAGTAGGAGGATAAATTCTTTGTTCTTGTACAGTTGCACCGTCTCTTCCTGTTTTTGTTACTATTTCGATGCATGCCTTAATTTCTTTAATCTTGATTGTTTGAAATTCTTCATGCACGTGCTCTTTATCGGCTTTTCCATTAAGCGCAGCATTTACTTCCGACTTCTTTGCATAATTTTCATCTACATAAGTTTTGTCGGCTTTCTTATCTAACATTGCTGGTAGTTCATGTGCTTCAAAGTTTCTGGCATGACCTTCAATATTCCTGCAACTGTTATCTAAATTGTTTAGTGTATCTTTTACGCTTGTACTTGGATTCTCTAAAGGTGCACTTGAACCAAGGTCAAAGTTCAATATTATGTCGTCTGCTCTAACAGTAGTGAAGGATTTATGTGTATGGTTCTTGTCGGCTTTACTGTCTAATGTAGCTTGAAGTTCATTTATATCGGAGATGTTGTGTTTATGAGATTTCAAAACTTTGTTCGTTGCTTCAAGTTCAACTTTGTCAGCTTTACTTTTAATAGCATCTTCAAACGTTATTTTTGACTTAACTCTCAAAGTAAATCTTGGTTCAACTAATACACCGTTAACATTGAAAGTAGAGGCATAAATTTCACCGGTATAACCAAATGCTTCTGTGCTTTAGCTACATCATACTGTACAGTACAGCTTATGTCATAACCTTTAGCACGAATGTATTTATATCTTCTTTCATTAACATTTTTTGTCTTCGCTTCATCACTTCGTGTTAAATATCCATGGTAGTTCGTTATAATCTGTTCGTCTGAAGTTATATAATGAACGTGGTTCTTGACTTTATCACTCAGAGCTAAAAGCTCATTTTTGTTTGCTTTTTCGGCTAATTTCTCATTAACATCATTCACTTCTAATTCAACTCTTCCGCCAGAACTCTTATTATCATTAATCTTTTTCATTAATTCGGTAATTACGTCATAAAGACTATATTCTGTTTTCGGTTTTGTAAATAATGAGTCAAAATTTCTTTTCATCATTACATCGCTGACATTAATGATATCACCAATTCCTTTTTCATTTATTCTCTTCATTAATTCTGCAATAATGACGAATATATAATCTGTTAATTTATTCTCTTCATCGAGGGTTATAGAATGTTTTGAAATTGAATCATTAACTCCTCTAAATAAATCAATAACTTCAGGATACACGTTTTTAATGTCTCGAATAACCCGACCAGTATCCTGTTGTTCATGTTCTTCGTTCCCGTCGTTACGTGGTTTTATATCTCTAACCATCATCAACGCAGCCATAACCGGAGGGTTTGTTGCTATCTGTTCGAAAATCCGTCCGTTATGTACGGTATATCTAAATAATTTCTTTGTGTTTGTTAAAAACATTTGAAACAAGTCTTTTAAAACCATCTACAAAATTTCCTGTTTCACCTAATGTTCTTGCAGCATTTACAAGCTCACCCATTCCCGCTTTTGACCCCAAAAACGTCCATATTGCATTTATTTCACTCTGTATAGTTGTCCATTCAGCGAAACTAACACCCGCATTCGCTAAGCTGAAAATGAAATTCAGTGGATCGAACTTAATTCCACCTTCTTTTTCAATTTCAACGAACTCACTAACATGAGATTTTAAATATTCTTTCGTTAAAATTGTTTTCCCGATGTTATGTCATTAACGAAACTATCACCGTCAAAAGTTAACGAATTCAATTTCGTCGTTGATGCTTTTATTTCATACACCGCTTTATCGATAGTTTTTGGCTCACCTTCTTTAGAAGCATATGAAACATTAATGAATGAATTATATGTATTCATGAATGAATTAAAATCAATGATTTTCATTAATGACGCCTTTAATGATTCATTTACTGTCGAATCCCTTAAAGTAATTAATGAACTGTCATTTATGAAAGGTACACTGCAAACCGTCGAGTTTGGATCAAATGCTATAGTTGGTGCAGGAATATTAATGATATAAGTCATTAAATCATTAAGTGACGTAAATAATGTTGTCGTTTTTGATTTAATTTCTTTAGCATCTGTTATATATGGTAATTTTATTTCTGTAGTTTCTGAATTAAAGATATTCGCTAAAATGTTTTGTAAACTGTTTTGAACAGCTGTGTAAACCGTTGAATCCGGAACTCTTACGATTTCACCGTCCTTAATAAAAGGCATTGCACATGGTGTAGTGCTTGGGTCAAATCTTTTTGGGTTATGATTCAACATATATTCTAATGCTTCATAAACAGACCTATATACGGTTGTATTATCTTTTTCAATAATTTCACCATTTACAATGAATGGCATAGTGCATGGAGTTAAAATGGGGTCAAACTTTTCATAGTCCTTCCATGTTATGTATTTCTCGGTATTTCCATCACTGATAACAATATATTTGTCAGTAAGTGTGAGAGAGTATTGACCAAAATATAAACGTTTAGCTCTGTCAGCTTCATACGCATATGCAGCTATACTCATATTTTAATGAGAATAAAATGTTGTTCTATTTGCAAAGTACAGACCCAAACGAATACGGGACAGTAAAACTACAAACAAACTTAGGTCTACAGAATGAGCCACTTGCATTCAGAATGGTTGACTTTAATACTATTGCTTCATTCGTTATAACTGACGAAACAGATTTCATGGAGCTTGAAATAGATGGAAAGAAGCACGAAATAAGATTTCACAATAATGTAGAATATAAGATGGAAACATTAGCTGGAGTGTTAAATGCTCTCATAAATACTACAATAAACAAGGATAACGGAGAAAACCTAATGAATGTTAAACTTATTGCAGGAGTTTTGAAGTTCAGTTATGCGAAAGAGTTTAAGATACCAAGAATGAGTCATAGAGTACAACTTCTTTTGGGAGCATACCATATGACATTTCCTTTGAAAAGTGTTGACAAAACGATTGAGATGAAATCTGTTCCATACGTATGTTATGGCAATTGTTTGTACATTGAGTCAAAAATAGCTAATGTCACAGGCATTTCAGGAGTTAATAGTAAAGGTTCAGTAGAGTATAAATCTTTCTGTTATGAAGTAAATTCAATGTTCATTCCAAACGTTCCTGTCATAGCAACTCATTTAGGTAAATGGGTTCGCATTAGTCCTCATAATTTGAAAGACATGCAATTCAGACTTGTTGACTTTCAAGGAGAGCCTGTAGAACTGAAGGCACCAGTGCGAATGACTGTTGAAGTTGACTTTTTAGAAAATATTAAATGCAACAGCTTACAAGAGAACTCAGAGCTAAAAATATAAAGTATGAATGTTATGTATTAGGTCATGAACTTTGGTTGTTGCTGTTTGATGAAACAAATGAGTTAGTTATGTCAGTCAAGAGAACAGAAAAATATTGTGTTAGTGAAAACTGCACCAAGTCAATAAGATTAGGTTTGCATTATGAAGATGAGTTCGATACTGTTGAAGAAGTTTTGGATAGATATTACAAATTGCTTTAATTTACTAAAACATATTTCAAACAAAGCTTATATTCTGTAGATAGTTTTGTATACTCGTTCGAATATTTATACTTAAACTCAACTCCTGGAGTACCTGGTGTTTCAATGATGCGGATGTTACCTATTTTCATGAATGGTGGCGTTTGACCACAGCATTCGATTTCAGGGTCGAGATAGTCAATGACACATTGTTTCCCTGTTATTCGTGAGATAACATTTTCAAGGTCCTCCTTTGTTAGAATTATTTGGTTCTTACTTATAAGATTTGTCAAAAGCTTCTTATCGTCTTTGAGTAAAATTGTTTGGTATAACTGAAGAAGGTAATGGTCTACGTTATCTGAAGGATTTGTTTGAACATTTGTGTAAGGGTTGTCGTTGGCTTCTTTGAAAGAACTTGGTCCAGTGGTGGATACTCTAACTTAACATCTGATGTAGCGTTAGCGTTTGAAGCTGTGTTTAAATTCACGGATTTCAGCTCTGGTTCTTTGGTTTCTTTCAAACACTCTGAACTATAGTTCTTTATGACAATATTGTTTGTCGTTCGTGAGTCAACATTTGATGTTGGTTCAATTGGAACAATTAACGGCACCAGCTAAGATGGATTTGCTTCTCATTTCATATAGAATAAAAACCTTTTATGTATGAAATGAACAATATACTCGACAAGGGTTTGAATGTAAAGCTAACGAATGAAAATATTGTTGAATTCACTGAGACAGGTGCTGTGTATAAAGATGTAGAACTACTGAACAAAAGAGCTAAGGGAAGAAGCAGGAACATGAACAAAGGGTGGAAGCCTATAAAAATTATGTCAATGATTGGCTCAGGAGGTTCAAACATAAAGTATGCAGAAAGTTATAGAGTTTATGCTCTCAAGGGAGAGAAGCCTTCATTTAAGAACAGCTATTCTAACACATATCCTCAAAAGCTAACGGATGGGGAAGTGGATGATATGAATGA